TTTATTAAAAATATAAATATTGATTTTGATTTAATCAATTAATCAATTAAAATTATTTATGTATTAATAATATTAAAATATATGTTAATTTTTATTAATTTTAATATAAATAAATTAAAAAATATATTTATGACATTTTTAATTTATATTTTTAAAATATAAATTAAGCAAAATTTTTTATTTTATAATATAAAATTGTCTAAATTTATAAAATAGAATTCTAAAAAATAAAAATAAAAATAAAACAAAAGCAAAAATGTGCATTCGAAGTTGGAAGTCGGTTGCCCGTTTGAACGTTTAAATATATTGTAACGTGTCAGCAAGAGAGGAGCAAGTGTTGAAGAGAGTGCTTCTGGGCGAGAGTGCCCTTAGCATTGCTGTCATAAGAAAGAGTTTGGTTTATTGTCAGGTGTCCCACCTTCCATAATTTCTTTTTCAGTCAAGCACGCCGGTATGCTATCTACTTCTTCAATCTTGATATCGTCTTATCTTCTTTGTTGAGAGTTCACATGTGCATTTACATATATTCTACGCAAGAATAGCATGGACTAAACAGATCTTGCGCTCAAAAGAAGGGGTCATCAGCCACATCATTCTTGCTAAAGTTCGTCTGTGTTTAACAGCTAGTGGCATGAGTTCCTGAACATCATCCGACGAAGTTTGTAAGTATGGTTAATTATATAGTTTTGGTCTTATTGCTAGAGCATCCTTTTAATTTATTTCTGAACTTCATATGGTACATAAAAAACCATACTTAGTTTTGGGCTTAAGGGATTCGGGAGTTGCCCTCCCTCTTTTCTTTTCGGTCATGGTCAAACCTCTGGTTTTTCTAGATTCGTGATTCTCAGCTTTTCTTCGATGCTTTTTTTGTTTTATCAGCATCATTCATTATACACAATTCAAATTTAGATTGGTTTCATGCATTTTCGACATGATTTTCAGTCTTAGCTTCCTTTCCTAACATCATCTTTTATGGATCTTCTCTCAATCACAAATTTGGCAAGATTTTCAGCCTTTTAAACATAAATCTTGACATATTTAAAGGTTTTAATTATCTCTAACTTCAATCCAACACCAGATTTGGTCACCGACCATCTAGCTCTTTCTTCTCCTTCTCCAACTTCAGATCTGGTTATCGACCATCCAACAAACTTATTTTAGTCTAAAAATTTCTTTGCCGACTTTCTCTTTCCTACTTCCCTTTCTCACCTTTTTGAAATTTGGGTGTGGGTTAGATCCAATTAACAGTTGTCAGGAGGTGTTGCACACTTACAGGTGAGAATGGAAGTAAAGAATAAAAAAATGAAACTAAGAGAAAGAAAGTGTTAGAAGAAGTAACAAGGTAAAAGGAACGAGGAAGTAAAGGGCGAAAAGTTTCTTATTTTATCTGAATGTTTTTAGTTTAATCTAGTAACCTCTAATTCTAAGTAGCTGGCTTCCCTTTAAAATTGAGCAAACGTGGCAAAACGATTGGGCAGGTGTTGGTGGGAGAGTGCAAGGGGGGAGTGACCCTAGCGCTGCTCTAGATTTTTAGTGACATTAGGTTAAAAATAAATGAGTAACTTATTCATATTTCAAGTGTTGGGCAGTGATATAGCATTATTTTTTTAATAATTTATATATATATAATTTACATGTTATTAAATAAAGATATGAATTTAATATTATCAATTTTAAATAAATAAATAAATAAATTATTTACATTATATTAAAAGATGATAAAATTATTTTTAAATTATTTTTTTAAGTGTTTATTTATTGTAGGTTCATTAATTATTACATAAGCAGCTCCTGTTAGCATTTAAAGTCTCATTCTCACGGAAGGCCTGTAGGCGAACAATTTAAGAAAGGTTGATGATGGGAAGGCTAGCTTTTATATAAAGGGTAAGGTTGAAGGTGTCCCATACCATAAAGGTTAGGGATGGAAAGGGAAATTTACCTAATAGTTAATTTTAAATTAAATGCCATTTTTAGCTTCACAATATTAGGGTTTTTGCGAATTTTTTGAAATTTTCGTTTTTCAACTATTTTATGTATTTCTTCTGTCTTTCAAGTCTAAAAATTATAAAATTTTTGTCCCTCAATGAAGTTTGTTAACTCAATTCTTATGATAATTTTTTATTTGTTTTTATGGCATAAATAATACAATTAATAAATGATACTTGGACCAAATTTCATGCTAACTACTTAATGGCAGGTTAAGAATAGAACCCACCCAATGACATTCAAAATTAATGTTTATTTATCTTAATGAAAATTTAAAAATAGGTCTCACTATCACCAACCTTATTTGATTAAAATTAATAAAATTTCTCAGACCCCACCTGTAATTTAACCTTTGCCCTCAAGTGAAATAATAGTCTTGTTCCCTTCATTTATTCATTCCCAGGATCCAACAAGCAGCCTAATTCGAAATCATAATCAATTGTCATTTAAACTTACATTTTTATTCACAATCACAACTAAAGAGGAAATAAACAAAAATCTAAATTAATTCTTAAAGTCTATAGATTTAACAACTTTAAACAAACCCATATGTGAACACAAAAAATTCGGTTTGCAAATCCTTGAAATTATGAATCTAAAGATTAATCGGCAGCTCTAGAGGAAATGGAGGAGGGGAGGGAGAGGAGGGGAGAAGAATTCAAACAAAATTCAGATAGGTTACATACGAACTTATATTTGGGTTCATCTGAACCCAATTCACTTAGGTTCCATATGAAGTTAGATCTCAAATCAGTTATGTTTTTGTTATATTATAGTGATTAAACTGGGCAAATATTGAAATATGTATTAAATCAAAACTTGTATCAATTATTTTTTAATTTTTTATCTTGACTCTTATCATAGGTATTATTTTTTTTCTTGATTCCTAAGGTAAGTTTTTTTTTTCATAAGCAGAGTTCTTGCCCTTAAGAACCACAATTCATTCCTTCAAAATCAGATTGTCTGCAGCAACTTACTAAGGAGATATGAAGGCTAATCAAGTTCAACTGATTCCATCTGTAAGTATTTAATTTTGTTTTTCCATATCCTATCCATGAATTTTCTTAAGAAGTGCACGAACAAAGTTTTGAATTAGTATGGTTACCAAAAATTATATATGATATTACCTGCTCACCATTTTGCACAGAGTAACACAGAATTAGTTCCACGCATGATTGTGCCCGAGCTCCTAAAAAAAGGTAATTATAGAAGGTGGCGCATTTTCTTGGAACATTATTTAGTGGCTCAAGATCTTTGGGATGTTATTTTATCAAGTGAGATGCCTGAGGATCCTAGGGATTGGGTTAGAAAGAATGCTCTAGCTCTATATGCGATTAAGATTTCATGTGGAGCAGAAAGCTTTGATAGGATTGAGGAGATGTATTCAGCCAAAGATGCGTGGAATGCGTTGGCTGATTTGCATAAACAACCTAGTGAAACCAATTATTTTGCTGATTTGCTTAAACAACTGAGTGAAACCAATTATGCAGGTATAATTTCCACCTCTATCTGTCTAAAATATTTTCTTAATGTTTATCATATTTTAATGCCTCAGATTAAGTTAAAAATAGGTTAAACCTTCAATTTAGTCCCTCAATTATTGTATAGACTTTTGATCTGGTCCTTGAATTAAAAAATCTTTGATTTGGTTCATAATGTTTAATGCTTATCAATTTGTCCCTAAGTTGATCTTTCTATACAAAAAAAGAAAGTTGATGTGTCTTGTTATCAATGTGATATGTAGTCATTAAGAAATGATTTTCTGTCATTAAGAAATGATTTTCTGTCATTAAGTAATGGATATGTTAGTTGTTTTTTAATAGAATAACTAACTTGGAACTAAATTAGTAAACAATGGATCAAATTAAGGATTTTTTTGGTTCAAGAATTAAATCAAGAGTCTATATAATAGTTAAGGGATCGAATAGGGGTTTAACCTTACAAATAACTCTTGATTGGACCCCCAAATTAAACCAAAATTTTAGTTCAAGAAAACGTTTGTGTTTTTTGACCAAATTAACTCTTTTATTCCATCTCTGAAATGAAGAAACTTGGGAAAGGATGTTGGTCCACAATGGAAGGACTAAATTTGTGTGCTTACTCGAGGACATCCATGCTGGGAATTGGGATGCCCTAAAAGGGTTGGATGAAATTACTGAAATACTTTTTCCTGGTGGTTTCACTGTTCTCCATATTGCAACTACTTGTGGTCAGTTGAAGATTGTCTGTGAATTGGTTAAGATGGCGAGAAAAGAGTACTTGGAGATACAAGACAACAATGGTGATACAGCCCTTTCCCTTGCTGCTTGTAATGAAAAAATAAAGATAGCAGAATGCTTGGTGCAGAAGAATGTTAAATTGCTTACTATTTCAAACAATGAAGGACACATACCACTTGTGGTGGCATGCATTAACCACCAGAACGATATGGCATCCTATCTCTACTCTAAAACTGAATCTGAATTCTTACGTTCAAATAGTAGCAATCAGGGAACCTTGTTCGTCAAATATTGTGCACTCAATTTTATGCTTGGTAAGAGTTGGTGGCTGGTCTTTCTTATTCTAAGCTTCAATTCATGTTAATTCTCACCTTATAAATCTTAGGTTAGGAGTGTATTTAGCATGATTTAAAAAGCGCTTGTTTTAAAAGTATTAGTCTTTTGTCACAAATTCGAAATTTTGTTAGAGGGATGTTCAAAAATTATCCTTTAAAAATGAATTTTAAGTAAATTTTGAAAGTCAAAATACTTTAAAATTTACTTAAAACGTACTTTAAAGGATTTTTTAAATTTCCCTTTAATAAAATTTTAAATTTGTAAAAAAATAATAATATCTTTAAAATATATACTCCTTAAATTTTGTCAAGTTCCTTCTAAATATTGTATGGTCCTGGCTTTGATATTTTGTTTCGTACATGTTGATAACAGATGTTGGTTTGGAAGAGTACCTTCGTTGTCCACGCTTAGCAGCTAGTAAAGAATCCATTACTATCTTAGAATTGTCTCGTCAGCCTTCTCTATTCTTCAGTGGAGCAGCATCGAATTTCATGCTTTTGGATATTCTATTGTATCTATGTAAGTTTTGCTTAATTGTTCCTTTAGTTTTCATATTCTCTAAATTAATTTATGCAAGTATCAAGGAAGATGAATATCCAAATACTATTAATTTATGGAGGAAGATAAATTAATTTATGCAAAGTACAAAAATAGAGTGCATTTAGTCTAGGTATAGTTTCCCATATATGCATTGATTTGTAAATTGTGATATATGGCTAAGGACAATAATTTTTTGATTAATAAAAGTAATATATATAACTTAGAATATGACTTATAGAAGATAAACCAGCATTGAGACTTCAGTCTTATGACTAGGAAACCCCTCTGCTTTTGCAGAACCTTCACCAAACAGCTAGAAAAATGCTGTTTATACAAGCACTGTGAGATCACAATTACGGACATGGTGGCTTTCTGATCTTTTCTTCTTCTTTTTTTTATGTTATAAATTACTCATTTTCTGTCAATATATCATCTTTAGAGTTGGGACTTGGGACAAAATTACAAGAAATTGAAGTTTCTTTTCTGCCTTTTGGTGTTTTTTTACCTAAAAAATTTACTTACAGAGAATCAATTTCATTCGTTGTTATTGAAGGTCTATATGTTGGAAAGCTGCCTTCTCCCTCTGATGACGCTGTCAGTACAAGTAGACTTGTAATCTTCAGAATACAATGTAAGTTTCTGTTACGTATATATTGATTCAAATGGCAGTCAATTTGCCCTTTATTTACTGAACGGGCTGGCGTAGCTATTCCATAAATATATATTAAGCCACATGAATGGTGTGTCTGTTCTGATATTGCAGTGGCTTGGGTTAAAGTAATGGATAGAATATTAGGACTCTTTTTCTTTCGATTCCATAGACCTGGTATGTAACGTCTTCTACTAATCCTTTCTTTATTACTATTCTTTAAGCAATTTCTCCTCATTCTGTCTTGACTTGGGTGTAGGTAAACTGAGGCGCTTATATAATCTGAAATTAACACATAGGTATGCTCATCTAGTTCTGCGTCATTGGTGCTGGAAGATATCAACCTACAGGGATGTGAAACAAGTTGTTGAAAGTGGAGCAATCTCAATAATCTTCCAAGCAATCAAGCAAGGCACTAACGAGATTGTGTTTGAGATTCTTAAAGCAAACCCCGATTTAATTTGGTACAATGAAAAGCTTGCAAAAGATCTACTCTCCTCTGTAATCAAATATCGTGAAGTTGGTCTTTTAAGTTTTGTTACCAGGTTTGAGGCAGGGAAGAAAGCACTTCTCTCTTTAGAAGATAAAGATGGAAACAATGCGTTGCATCTAGCAGCCAAGTTACCTGACCGTCTTTATGAGTCTGTCGGTATCCATGCAGCTTGGACCATGACATTCGAAGATTGGTGGCTTGAGGTAGTCATAAACTATTCATATTTCTTTTCTCTAATTAACAAGCGGTGTATTCTGTATTTCTTACATCATTTTATTTTACAGTATAAGATCAGAAAGGAAAAAAATAATAATCTGAGACAAGTAGCTAGCTAGAATTATGAAATCTCTTGGTGGAGTCGTAAGTTTAATCTGGAGTGATAGCTGTGCCTCAGTAGTAATCAAATAATTTGTTGTTCTAGAAAAGATTTGATGTTTTCTGTTCTTTCTTTTTTTTTTTTTCTTTTCTTTTTCTTTTTTGTCTTTTCACTTTAAATTTTAAGGCTAATACTGTTATGCAGAAGATAAAGAGTTACCTACCATGCTGGTATCATGAAGACGAAAATCTTTATGGTGAAACTCCAGAGCAAGTTTTCTACAGGGAACACCAGGAATTGATAACAGATATGGAGGAATGGGGAAAGAGAACTGCAAAGTCTTATAGTCTTGCGTCGGTTTTAATTGTTACCATTATGTTTGCAGCACTCTTTACGGTTCCTGGCGGGATCGATGAAAAGACCGGCATGCCCAAATTATTGCACATAAAACAGTTATCCGGGTTTCTAATGTGTGATGCAGTGTCCTTCATTAGTGCATCAACTTCTTTACTTGTATTTCTGAGTGTACTCACACAAACTTACAAAAGAGGTCGTCGTCGTCGCAGAGTTTTGCCCTTTAAATTGTTGTTTGCCATTACCACCCTCGTCATTTCGATAGCAACGATGATCATGGCCTTCATTTTTGCTCTTGCGGTGATGTTAGAAAACAAGCGGCAGGTATTACTACCTCTTATATTATACCTCCTTGTAGGTTTTGTCGTCTTGTTGTATGGCTGGCATGCTCCCACACTTCTAAGCCTTCTTGAAATCGCGATTTTACAAAAAAAAAACAGACCATGAGAGTACGATACAAAAACAAGACCATCAGAGAGAGTCGTATGTGGACGGCATTTGAAGAGTGTTTGATGGTGTTAAATTACTCTCTATTTATTTTTAAATTTGTAATGCTCTGCCTTCATGTTAGAAACATTTGTTTGCGAAAATTATTGGTGTTCGGATTTGATATGTTTAATTGTAAGTATTTGTTATTCATTTTAACGTGAACAATTTAGATTTAGTAGTGGAGAATGATTTGGGATTGGTAGGGGGTATTGACTACTCCCTACATCCCAAACTACTGTATCATTATTATTTTTTTTTTAGAAGTCGACACTTTTTTTATTTTAATTCTATTTTTTTATTTTAATTGTTATCTTTATCGTTAAAAGTTTTTATATTTTTATTTGTTTTTAAGAATAATATAAATAAAGAATAAAGATATATATTATTTTTAAATTCTTACTTTGTTATTTAACTTTTAACATATCAAGCCATTAAATTTAGTTGTTTATTTTTTTTATTTTAAAATATCATTTAATATGTTTATATTTATTTTATTTTTATTTTAAAAAAATAATTACAATTTATAAGAGTATTAAATAAAAATTTTAAAAAATAAATCAATAAAAATATTTTTTTTAAAGAGTAAAAAACTAGTCCTTATTTTGAGAAAGAAGTAGTCTAAGAAAACAAGTTGCATGTTGCTGTTAAGAGAAAAGTTGTAAATAAAAATATTAGTTTCATATTATTTTATTTGAAAATATTAATTTTATTAATTTTTA